CCAAACTCTCACCTCCACCAGAGAAAGCACAGCTCATGAACGCTATCAGAGCCTTCCCTCCACATACTTTTTAGAAGTATGCACATATTTTCTCTTTTCTCGCCTTAGAGCTTTGAAATATATCGAAACCACTGATCACAACCACTTCCATGTCCATTCCTTAAGTTTTTAATATTGGCTCCTCCTGACGGCCTTTTCATCTTTTTTTATCCATCAGTATTGCTTTCAGAATGACTAATTTCGCTTTGTCTGACAAAAACATAAGGTTTTCTAACATTCCAGCTCCCTCATTGTGAGAGCGGGGAATGATTTGAGTGAAGGGCATCACACGGGCCCAAAGGTACTAATTCTGGAGAGCCAGTAGTGGCTCTTTCACATGACATGATGTTGACCCTTATATGGGTACCATGCATTGGTTCCCAGACCATTTTCAGGCCCAATTCATAACTTAGGATTTACCATTTAAAGCTCCAAAACAACTAGCTCTGTGCATGCCTCTTCTCATATCTACTTCCCAATACCTTACATTTTTCTCTGGAGTCTCTACTCCAAGTACCCTTGCCTAACGAAAAGCAACCACTGTGCAGACGCCTTTTGGTACTGACACCTGTTACAGATCATCCTCATGAAAGCTTTGCCTGGTGCTACCTTTCTGCTCTTTTCTTTAATTTTTTGTTCATTCAGGCCTTTTAAATATATTTTGTAGTCTAAGCTTCCAAGTTTTAAAATTGGTGCTTTAACTCTGGCATTGCTGTGAATTTTGATCTCTTTTGCTAGAGTAATTTTGTATTTGATTTTATGGTTTTATGTCACATTTTGTATCTAAATTGTTTTTATATCTATTTATTGCAAATTGCCCAAGAGAACATTATGCTCTGCGGCTAGTGTACAAATGGCATAAGCAAACAAACAGTGTGGTTTTCATCAAGGAAATCTAATGGGAATGAATGCAGAATTCATTTTGAACTTGATTAGTTCTAGGATACTGAGATGGAATTGCATTTTATGCTGAAGTGTATAAATGCACACACACACACACACACACACACTTTTCAATGTAGTTAAAAATCCTACTCAGACTCTACTGAGTAAAGTTCAGTTATAAAAGTTTATAGATCATTAACTTTTCTTTTTATTTACCCTCTGAAATATATCTTAGCAGCTGCTTGGTGTTTTTTTTTGTTTTGTTTTGTTTTGTTTTTTGCTTATGGAACCAATAAAACTGCACAGGCTTATTTTCAAAGGATGCTATGAAGTGCATTTTTCTATATAAAATTTGGCAGCCTGATCTTATGCATACTTACTCAGAAGCAACCCCTACATAATACAAAATATGGTTTATTCACATAACAAATCTAATCATAGACACGTCTGCTCCAAAGTAAGTCACTCTGAGTTTGATGGAGCATACTCCCAGGATGGTGGGCACCATGTTTCAGCAGCCTAGTAAGTGTGTATGAGGTTTTGGTGGCTTCTCAGCAGGATACCTTGTGCATTCACCAAACTTTTGGTGTCCACCAACAGGAAAATTTCCAAAGTAACAAAGTTAGTTCAGTATTGCGAAAGCAATTTTGCATAACAGTAAGCTACTGCCAAAGTTCAGGCATCTTTCAGTAATGTAATTGTAATATAATTCAAAAGAAGTGTGAAAGCCAACTCAACTCTTAGCCAATTGTTGACTCGTTGAACAGCAAAGAGCCCCTAGTGTTTTCCCTATCACTGGCTGGGGAGCCATATCGAACTTTTAAAATAAATGGAAGATAAAATTACTGTCCAAAATTCTTTACACTTGCTTCAAAAGACAACCGTCCATCTCTCATTACTGTCTTTGTTTCCTGCACTATTTTACATGGTCCCAGAAGTACTAGTTAGATTGTCCACAGGTTAGAATGGAAGAAGAGATTTACACAATGGTAAATCTGTGTCTTTCTATCACAGTGTGGTTTTCAGGCATACAGAGGTGCAGTTAGGTAGTTTTAGACTATGGACTCGGTGGTCTTATGGGGATCAGGCCTTCATTGCCTCAGCTGTGAGGCACACCACATGTCTCTTCTCCCCCTCCCCATTCTGTGCTTTTAAACTGCCTCTATTGTCCTAATATGTTAGAATGACCACCACAACAAAACTGTTTGCCAAACCTGCTTTTAAAAAATACTCTGACCACATGCAGTTTTGCATTCAGGATCAATAAGATCAAGACACCATCCTGGCCACAGAAAAAAATGACATTTACTTCTCCTGTCCAGGGGCTTTCCTCACCTGTCACTCTCGGGGAAATCATTTAGAGGACCCTTGAGCTGTGCATCGCTTGGGTTTGGCCCCAGGGTCCAGCCCTGACTGTACCACTGCAGACAAACATGAAATGATGAGATGTATTGCTTCTTTCCTGTAAAATAAAAAGAAAAGTGATGGCTTCCTTTTTCTTGGTGCTTGTTGCTTGTTCCTAGACATATCTATGAAAGGGAGCGCTTCATTTCTCACATCTGTACCTCTTTTGTGTGGCAAGGAGCATGAACTGGAAAGAAAGCGATGCACTTGTAAATCTTTCGTAAGATGACACTGTTTTTTCAAGCTTGGATCACCATAAAAACGTAACCATATAAGGTCCATTTAGAAAAGAACTTCTGCTTCCAACCTCACTCCGTACTGCTACTCTCCATGAATGCACATATCAGTTTCCTAGCAGCAAGGCTTGGTGGCTGGTCAGTTGCAACATCAGTAAACCTGCCCTGCCCCTGCACGTCCCCTAAGGAGAATTTTGGCATGCCAGCTCCAGGATCTGAGGGCCCTTGTGCAAGACATCTTCAATGCGTCCTCTCCCTCAGGGAGTTCTCCTTAGCACCTCCATTGTCACTGGCAGCTACTGCATCTTACTCTCTTTTTCACCACTTCTCCATATTCTTGCTTGGCAGGGCGAGAGCCAGCAGGCAAATAGGTAGTAGCATTTGCTCCACCAGTGTATGGATCAAAGCAAGAGGCAGGTGAAGAAACAAACTGCAATGGTGAAGAGGAGGAACAAATCCAGGCGCTCTTGTTGGTGGCCCCTGCTGGGCTGTGGCCTGGCAACATGTGCCCATTCATCTCTACCCTTGATACCAGCCTGAAGCGCACACACAGCACTAGACATACTTATTTCGAAGAGTGCAACCTCTTTTAAAAAATAGTATGGCATAGTAGCTATGCATTGTCCTATAAGCTGTTCGAGAACTGATGCAGACTTTAAGGCATATTACTGCAGGCTGCCTGGTACGGACATTTCTCCCCATGTTTGGATGGCAGAGTGTGGGAGCCAGCAGGGGACACAATGGTGATGGCCGGACCAGTTGGGAGTCCCCTTTCTCCCTCCTCTTACAACCACCACCATGTGGAGAACACTGGAAGAGTGATCTTCTCCCTAGGAGATTTGCAGAAAATCTGGATTGCACCTAGAGGAGCCACATGCAGTATCACTAATTTGTCCACGAGCAGCATCCGTGTATCATGTTTTCACTCTGTATAACCTTCAGAACAACCATCTTGGCCTGGTGATTAAGCAATAACTCTTTAGAACAGTTCACGACTTTTCAATTTATCTCCACTCTTGTAACAGATTGGGGTCGCATTATATTAGTTGAAACTTAAAACACATTGGTTTGTTTCAAAGTTAATATTTTCCAAGCCATGTCATTTTTGCTACCTAATGAGACTAACACCTGCTTCGAGTTGAACTGCTTTAGCAATATATTCTGGATGGTGCATCAGTTTTTCCTTATTTCTTCATAAATCCATGACCAAATAGACTTTGGAGATGGCACTCGACTTTACAAAAAGTAACGCTTGTATCTAATATATTATCCGAATGAGGCTGACATGTCTTACAGAGAGATCTGGAAGCCATCATTTAGGGCTCAGTGATTTTGAGATTCACAAGTCCCACCAGGGTATTACTACAAAAGTGTTGGGAAAGAGGCATGATTTGTGTATTTCCCTGTGTCTTTATAATGTTTGGACCAACTTGAAGCATCTGATGAGAGAGCATTGCTGACCATGCTGGATCCCAGCCTTAGGTTAATAAAAAGCTGCAAAACTTAAGCCAGTACTGCTTGTTTGCTTTTTAAAGCAGAAACAGTTTTCACATGGTCCTTTTTAACTTACTTTTACTCTCATAGTTGTCAAACCCAAAATTCATCTCAGAACACTGAGCTACAGTGATCTGCCATTCACCTGCTTCCATTACAACCAATAACATGGTTGGCAATATATCGGACCATGAAAGCAAGCAGCTGCTTGCTTAGAAGAGGTCGTGGTAGCCATGTCGTGGAAAACCGTATCAAATCTGAATCATGTGCACCCCATTCCACAGTTCCTTCCATGCATGGTATGTTAGCGCTCTGTAAAGGAGCAATCCTAGGCAAGCCTAGACAGAAAAAGGCCTTCAGTTCCCAGCATGCCCCAGCCAAAATAGCTATGACACACTTAAGGCTTACAGTCAATGTTAGGCTCCCTTCTCTCCCTTCATGGGCTGGTGCCAGAGGCTAAGGGCTCTTTTGCATGAGAAGTCTGCTTTTTTCATTTTTCTCAATCGAACATTAAGGCATCCTTCTCACAAAGATGCTTTTGTGTTTCATGGGGTGGGGTGGGGTGGGGGTGGGGGGGTCCTCTCTGCCTTTCTTAGTGTTTTTATGTGGTCCATGGAAGAACATAAGGTGGTGGTGTGGTATAGAGTGGAATTGTGGCCATGCATCAGGTTCCTGTTGCAAATAGCATGTTGTTGTTGTTGCTGTTGTTATAACACTGCATTTATATCGCACCTTTTTTTCCTCCTGTGAAGAAACCATGGAGCCTTACATAGCTCCATTTTTTTCTCATAGCAACAACGCATTAGCTGGTTAAGCCAAGAGTGAGGGACTAGTCCGAAGTTATCCAGTGAGCTTAATGACTGAGTGGGGAGTGGAACTTGGATCTCCCAGGACCCCAGTCCAGCACTCTCACCACCGCATCGCACTGGCTCTCTATATTAACAGGAGAAAGCACAAAGCTTTCTCCTCCAGTACCACAAATTATGCAGTTGTGCTTCCCACATTTGGGACATTGCAGAGATCAACACACCCAGAGGGCAATGGATGAGCATCACACTCAGAAAGCATCCTTCATGACCAAGGTGTCTCCCTTGGCAGGTAATTGTTGGTTGCATCCAGGAAAGTATAGCATTTTCCTCACTCAGAAAAGTCATGAAAATGGCTGCAAAACACAGGAAAACCTGTGGGGGATGACACCATTGTGGAAAGGCCCCACAAATTTCTATGAGTAAGGGGTCATGAAAGCACAATAGATGCCTCATGCAGGAACCCCTAGCCCTGATAAGAAATGGCATAATAGTAGGATAGGATTTCTCTCCTGCTCACTCAGGATGTATCTTTAGTTAACAACCAGATAGCTGCTGTGGAGACAGGGCCAAGAATGGACTGGGTGCAGAAGTAGTAGGAATCAACCCACTAAAATCAGTGGAGCTTAAGGCAGTCATCACTTACTCTGTGCCATTATTTCAGTTTGTCTGCTCTAAGTATGGCTAAGTCTGGATTTAACCCAGCAGCTCAGGAAAAGTGTTAGTTTCTTTGCTTTGCCCCAACCCTGCTAGCTCCTAACTCTCACTTGTAGTGGCCAGCGATTGCACCCTGGGACCTTGCGTGGGCAAAACATTTGCTCTGTGCTCAGGCCTTCCTCAACAGCAGCAAAGCCAAGACTGATACGCAAGGCTGAACTTACAAGCATAGAATAAGAAATAGAAGAGATGACATTGATGGCCACTTAGTCTCCTTAGAAATTCAGTGGAATCAGATAGTAATCGCTGTAGTATACATGAAAGCAGCCATTAGATTTATGGAGATAGCCCTGTCCTTTGCCAATAGCCATAACAGAGAAGACCACTGGTACGTGCTCTGGCTTTATCAGTATAAGAAATGGGGGGTTGGAAAATGGTTTAGGATTTTCATTTTATTCAGTGGGTGTCTGTTTGGAACAGGGTTGGGCAATAGGTTATTGGTCTACAACTGCCATAAGACACAGCCAGCAATAATTATGGATTATGGGGATTGTCATCCAAGAACATCTAGAGAACCACTTATTTCTCACTCCTGCTTAGGGAAAGAAGGGTTATGTGGGCTGCACCAAAATTCATAGATATCCTGAATATAGGGGTCAGATGTATCCATGTGAGGGGGAAGGAAGAGAGAGAGAGAGAGAGAGAGAGAGAGAGAGAGAGAGAGAGAGAGAGTTGGACCATTAATTTAAAAAGATAGCCAAATCTATCTCAACTTTTTGGCTTTTGAGATCTCTGGAAAACTTGCAAAATTAAGTTATCCCATGAGAAACTTAATCCTTCTTTAACTGAGGGAGGCCAATAAAAATACCACAAAGCAGTCTGTTTTGCTTTCATGTCTTAACTGAAACTGGAAGAGGCAAAATAAATTAAAACTTCCCAGTCTCTAGAAAAGATGCATTTATATTCACAAATGTTTAGATAGATTTTTCTTTTTTCCCAAACAGCCAAACAATAACTATATTATTAATAACGTAAATAAAATGCGATGTCTGATCCAAGCTGTAGAATTCAGAACATTTTCATTAATTACAAATGCCAGTCAATGACATCTTTATCAGCCATAGTTTTTTGCAATAACTTAAGTAGGGAGATGACGATAAAGAACAGACTACTTTATGGAGAACTTTGTAGGACAGATAGAAGGAAATATTTCTTCACACACTGCATTGAATTATGGATTTTGCTGCATCAGTGATGGCCACCAACTTGGATGTCTTTAGGAGGATATTAGACAAATTCATGGTGGATAAAGCTGTCATTGTGGTTACATGCTTCCAATTATGGAGGTAGCATATGCCTCGGTATACCAATTGCTGTCCTGGCTCCTAAAAAGAGGTCAAACGATGATGCAGTTTTGCATAACATTTGCATGTGCTAATCTGTCACAAGCTGGTCCTTCACTCTTTCCTTCTGGTTATCAAACTCAAGACAATCCTTTGACACATAGTTATTTTATTGAAACTCAACAGATTACACAGTATGAATATCAAAGTTGATGGAGAAGCTGCTACCCATGTAAAGAGTTGAATCCAACCTGGAAACTTCTGTTCTGTACCTGCCTTTCAGTAAAACTTCTGAATCCACTGTCAAGGGTGGCTCCTGCTGCTTGAGGTCAAATGGTCAACAGTGAAGCCCTTCCAATTGAACAGCTTGTTTCTTCTGATGCCTCCTTCCTGGGTCAAGGACTGGGTCTTGCCTATGCTCCCCCTCCCCTCCTGAAAACCCTTCCATACCTTCCTAAGTAGGCTAATTCTTATGCTGTGCCTGAGAACCTTCACTAGGTCACCTTCAAAGTCCTCTCAAACTTCAAACTAGGTAAACTTCAAAGTCCTCTCTGCATCCTCTCTCCTCCACCTCTACCTCATAATCCAACAATAAATCTATCTGAACAGATTGCAAGGAGCAAGAGACAGGTCCACTCCATAGTCCACCTTTTCCCAACATAGTGATCTTCAAATATTTTGAATTTCAGCACCCATTGGATGCTGCCAGCATGACCAATGGTGAGGAATTCCAGGAATTGTAGTCCAAAACATTTGGAGAGCACCTGGTTTGGGAAGACTGTGTAATTATCACAAATTAAATATAAATACAGTATATCTCATCTCAAGTGGAAAAGACTGACCAGGTGCTTATGTGCCCGCTCAGTCTGCTGGCCAGTTGATGGACAACTGCAAGGCCCAGCTCTTCCTTCTGATGAATGCCTACCCACTTTGGCAGTCCAACTGCACCCAGAAACCAGCAATGTAACAGTCTTTGAGGAAAGGGATTGTCAGTGGGGAAACTATGTCTCTAAGAAGATTATTTAATAGGAGGGGAAGTCCTGATTATTCACACTGATTATCCAGATGTGAGTTTCTTTCTAACAGAGTGGCCACCCAGAGAGCCCTGTGACTTTGAGTCATGTGGCACTGTGATTCTGGCTGGCTTGAGAAATATTCACATTACAGTTGCTAGTACCACACAACAGATATCAAAGCCTTTCTGTGCTTTCTGCTGCAGAAATGTTAGGCTGAAGAGATTAGGTAAACCTATAGTTAAGGATAGGTATTGGTGGCGGCGGTGGGGCACTGGACAATAGGACTGTTCTCTCAGTGAATCTAATTTCTCACCATCATTGTCACCAGTTCCCATGGCCCATCCTCCTCCTTTTCCTCAATGCAGACTCTGGCTGGCTGGCTGGCTGGTGGCTGGCTTCCTTCCTTCCTTCCTTCCTTCCTTCCTTCCTTCCTTCCTTCCTTCCTTCCTAGGTAGGGAACCAGTCAATAGATAGTCACATCGCTGTCTTCTTCTCACCACCACCATTGTAAGAGCCAGAGGAAGAAGCAGGTGAATAAGCAGGTTGCAATGGTAAAGAGAAAGAACAAGTACAGGAGTGTCTTCAGTGGATGCCTGCTGGAATGTGGGCCATTGGCAGGGGTCCAACAATCCCTACCTTTCCATATATTCTTTCTGGTTGTTCAAAAGAGAAGTTAAGTAATTAAATGCATGTTTCTATGGATTCCCATAAGAATTATACTGTCACTTGTACCACCAATATTTTACCCCATCAAAACCTGGATTTTAAATGCTTACACTGAATTATTGTTTTCTTATAAGTAAGAGGTTGCAATGGAACAGGTGGCTTATTTTTTACTATGTAACAAAGGATTGCTGGCTTGCTATGGGGAAAAAGATTCAGTCTCAGGTATCCAACAAAGTAGGAAATAAAAAATGGAATGAAAAAAGGCAGAATATCTTGCTTTTACTGGCTAAATTATGCTTATATAAGACATACTTTTCAATTACACTGTATCCTTCCTCACACATAATAGAAAGGAAGCACATTTTCCATGGATGAATCAGTGGTGCTAATAGAAAGTCTTACACTAAGTTAAAGTTTCCCAGAATCTCATCTCTTCTTCATCCATAGCTGATTTGCATTTATAAAGACCTTGTATAGCTGATTTGCATTTATAAGGATCTTGCATTGTTTCATAAATATTTTCTCCCCACAAGTGTTCCCCATGAGCCCTTTTCCATTCCAGAATCAGTGTTTAAATTCAAGACCCTTTCTTGGGTGGCATTTCATAGACACAGGTATAGATCCATCATCCTTGTACATCAGCAAATAGATATGGAATTGCAAAATAAAATTTCAATGCTAAGCATTTCTAGTTAGAAATTACCATTGAATTATTTTTTTAAATTCATAACTCAGCACCCTGCCTCTGGCTAACCTGACATTCTTGGGGAAATTCAGAAGTAATTCCATGGCATCTATTCCCAGATTAGTGTGAACAGGATTACAGCAATACAAGTGACTGGGGAATAAATCCCACTGAATTCAATGTGATTTTCTTCTCTGTGTGTGGTGAAATACAAAGTCAAATAAGATCAACTGTTCAAGGAAGGTTTCATCTGGCTTTTGATGCCTTACATATATGAAGAGTGCATTGAGAAATCCAGACTGATAGGAAAATGTTATGTTCTACAATATTCCAAAGTGCCCATTTGTATTGTTTTATATTTCACCTGCTACAAATCTTAATTAAAATACACCTTGCATTTTCTGGGCTCAGTTTTATTGGTCTATTCCTGCCTTTCCCACCAATGATGTAATGCTTAAAAGTGGAAAGTAAAGTCTCTGTCCTATTTTAGCACACCAGACAGCAAGAGTACAAATACCATCATCCTGTAGCCAGCAAAAAAGGACTACTTCTAGGACCCAGAAATCTCTTCTCTGGAAGCTTTCTCTCAATTTCCTTCTGTTTTCAGAGGAGCTTCCTAGGGATTATCATTGCCCTGAGAACTGGAAGAAATTGGCTCTTGACCACTGGGTGGTTTCCTCTTTAATTCATGTGAAGGGTCTACTGAGGATGTACTGCAAGCCTCGAAAACCAAGCCCAGGTCCTCTCAATCTCTGGCAAAAAGACCTCTTTGATCTCCCCCGCACAGAAAGAGGTTGTTGAAACTGTGTTGCTGCCAGTGAGTATTTTGGAAGGAATCCTGGCCCCACTCAGTCGTTTCCATTGGTCTCAGAGAGTATGATTTCATTCATTGTGTTTGCTCTGTGATACTCTCACTGAGCCATCCACAGAAGG